TTCGACTGAGTGTCCTAATTCCCTACACATAAAACCCTATAACCTCCGTTTGCGTAGGAAAACATGCAGGGAGTAGGAATTAATGAATGGGCCTACTTAAGCTACTGTTGCCCTACGAACTATTGTACTGGGAGCATACTTCGTTCTTCCCAAAGCTCCTCCGAAACTTGACGAAGTATATATTGGTATTCTTATTTTTCGCTTTTAAAAATGATTCACGATGAAACAAAACTGATAGCGTGGCTTCGACCGGATTTAAGCGATTGATGTCTTACAGCCCAACTCCACCCGTTGTTATTAATTTTAATTAGAAGATGATTTAAATGTAATAATTCTTCAAAGTATGGGCAGAAAACTAGGCAACCTCTCCTTGGACGCCTTTAAAATTGTCTCAGTGACAGCAGACAGTCGATCCAAATGTCATTTTGTATGTCTTATAGCCTCGATCGTACTTACTTACTGATTTGAAAGATTATCAGGCCTCTGTTGTTGTTGGGAAGATGTCTTCAATAATGTACTGCAGTTCACAAGGAAACCCATTAGTTGTCTCTAATTTATGAGAGCACTATGCAAATTTTACTTCTGCTGCCTACTTATCTCCTAAGTTTCTTCCGTTCTAGTAGGTTTTAATTTTATTTCTGGCTGCATTCATCCACTGGGAATTTTCCTGAGTGATGTGCAAATGAGTATTCGCCAGACGACCTTTTCGGAACACAAACACTCTGTTTTCTTAATTTCTGCTTTTCTTCTTCCCTTCGCCTCCAGCCGGAATTGTCCAATCCCAACTGTGAAAATTCACGTGTTCTAATAGTGCGAGCGGAGCCAAACTTCATTGCCATCGGACCGAATCATGTGGCCGTTGGAGTAGACAACCAGGCCTGGTTCTACGATATTTCCGGCAAAAACGGTGAATTGCTGATTTCAGTTTTTTTTGCGATCGTGGCGCAAAATTTCAGTCGCCCCTCCTCCTGCGCTCGACTTACATATTTCTATACAAGCAATGCTAATGAAGTGGGGGAATATGTAAACGACAAGACCACCTATTATGATATGTATAATTTTGCTAAGAAAATGGAAAACCCTTGTTAACTGTTTCTCCCCAGAGCAACTAAAAGTTTTCAAAAACACATTTCTTATTTCTCTCAGATTTCGAACTCGTCGATGACCATGAGTACAACGCTATGGTAGTAAAAATGCGTTTGAATGGAGAATACGCGGCAGTGTGCTTTGCTGATGGACGCGTGTTGCTTCATTGGGTCTGTCTTCTTTGGTTCTGATTTTCAGATTTAAATCTTTTAACGTTTGCGTCAATTAAATCCGCATACGAGGTAATCAGAAAAAAATAGTTGATAGGAAAATCTGCGCACTTACACGACTGTAGAACGTTTTTAGCTGCTATATTTTGGCAAAATAAAATGTTTAAAAAAAGCATTTACTACCATGTAAATTTGTTAAAAAGGTCAAGGCGCCGGCGCTCTCTATGGCTCTTGATGAACCACTAGAATAAAAAGTAACATATAGGCATTGCTACTTTAATTTGTGAGCAGTTTTAGTAGCTTTAAGTAATGGTTCGGAATACAAGGCATGTCATGCACCAATCCCCAATCGCCACTCCTTTGCTAATTCAGATTGATCCGAAGAAATTTCCGGCAAAAATGCAGCAGATTGCAGTTGTGGCAGCCACAGGCGCCCAGGGATACGGCGACAAAAACAAGGGTCAGACCCTCGCGGATAAACTGATGCCATACGCCACACGTCAACAAAAGACTTTCGCTGAACCAGTTCAGGAGGGCTCGCGAATCACTGACATTGAATTGACTGAGCAGCACTTTATCTACTCCACATCGGTTTGTTTCCAATTGCTTCATTGCTCCTTAATTGCCATTCTGTCGATGAAAAAAATTTCTAATGGGTGGCTTTTCACATCGCGAAAATGACGTTGCTCTATTTACACCTAACTGACCAATAGCCAAACCTCATAGTTCACGGCGAAACTAACTATCGAAAACTTTTAGACAAAATGCATCCGCCTAACTGCTGTAGTGGGCATCTGAAATGACGCCTATTGGAAGTGATAGTTTTACGAGATTCCTACGAGCTGACTCAAAAGTAGTGTCACTTTACAACCTAAGCATATACAAATGCGTTTTACTTTGCAAATAATGTATGTCGCAAACAATCTTACTTTTTTGAAAATATTTCAAAATCCGGTTTCCAATATTTTTCCGAACAGCACAGTGTACCAATAATTACCGCAGTTAGCCATAGTTTTCTCTGCTAACGTTGCGCTGGTATTGATTCCCGAATCGATCGATCTCATCTCGTGATTCGATGTCTGTCAGTCTGGAAAAAGTTTCTAACAGTTTATGAGTAATCGGACCTTTTATTTCATTATAATTAGTTATTCAGGCTAAAACCTCAAACAGCCTATTACAGAAGAGAAATCAATATTCGTGTTGATTTGTATTTGGACACAAACTAGCTGAATATTGGATTTCAGTACTCAAGTTAAATGTTTTTTATTTCTGCATTTTGACACTGAAGTAGGCTGACAGGGAGAAAACTGAGGAATACCAATGACTAAAAGGTTTAACAGAGTAGGACACAATTCGCGTCTATTTAGATGGAAATGGCTCACTGCTGCTTAAAAATAGATTCAATGTGAATCCTTCCGAAGAATCCAATTATCCAACTGTTTGATTGCTGGAAAGTGCCATCGACAGATTGTGTCAAATAAAAAGAAATATGGACGGCCTCCATTATACGGAATAATGCATTTGGTTTAAATCTTAGAGGCAGTCGTTTTAAGTTAACCAAGGGAGATAGTATATGAACTTTAAAGTTAGGAAGGAGAGTGTGAAATAAAGGCTTAATGGTTGAAAAGGAAATTAACACTTGAAGATAATAAACTAGTTTTGCCAATCTTTTCATATAAAATTTTACAACATGCCGCCATCAAGATACAGGATGAAAGAAAATAAATTAGGCAGAATATA